TTTTTTTTTTTTTTTTGAGACAGTCTTGCTAAGTTTCCAGGGCTAGCCTCAAACATGTGTTCCTCCTACCTCAGCCTCCTGAGTTACTGGGAATTTCAGGCCGCCATGTGCCATTATGCCTGGCTCCATGCCTACTTTTTAGTGGTACAAGTATACACATTGTATAGGAGAAATATAAGAAGCATATGATAAAGGGTGCCAAGGGTAGGATGATTCTGATTAAGGTACAGTGTGAGGAAAAGTATCTTGCCATGGCCTGTGAATGGCGATATTGAGTTACTTCAGGACATATTCTACACATAGGTCATCTCCAACTGTGTTTCCAAAGTTCTGATTCATAGTTTAAGGCTAATTTCTTTAGAATCTCCTTAGAAACTTTATAAAAGTACATAGCCCAGCCTAYTTAACTCACTCAAAAATCTGGCTGGATTGTGATAGTGTAAGAGCCAGTATTTTTTGAAGACACTTGGGGGCTAGGACTGTAGTTCACTGAGCCCTGGCTTCAATCCCCAGCACTGAAAAAAATTCTAAACATTAAAAAAAAAAAAAAAAAAAAAATTAAAAGCTCCTCCAGGGTTCTAATAGACAGCCAGGTTTGGGAACCAGTAATTGAGGTTGTACTGGGATAACTATGTCCTGATTGTATGCATTCTCTTGATAAGACTCTGTGAATAATAATTGTTTTGTTTTTAAAACTTTCAAAATAAAAGTTAYAGCTTGAGAGGGGGCCCTTTTGTCTACAAACTTGTATTATGCATGATCTAGAAGATAACTTGCATATATTTCTGTGCCAACATTTCTTTTGTATATAGTTCATATCCATTGACTTCTCTTTTTCCAAAATATGAGCCATGTTTTTKATTGAACATTGTATAGTATTTACTCTATAGCTAGTGGTCATTTAAAATGGCTATTTTTATTAGTTTCATAAACAGACCTTGAGTTCCATCATGATGCCTCACCCAGCAAGTGCACCTTTTGGCCACAAGAGAATGAGACTTTCAGGTCCTCAAGCTTTTGATAAAAATGAAATTAACTCATTACAGTCCAGTGAAGGACTTCTGGAAAAAATAATTAAACAAGCAAAGCATATTTTTCTGAGGAGTAGGTAAGGATGAATAAAGTTACTGTTTTTCTTTGAAATTGTAGTCCTCTTTCTACAGTTGTTTCATTTATGTTATTATTTGGATGTTTTAACCTTTTTTTTTTCCCAGGGAGAGGAAGGTGGCTGCAGTGTAAAAGTTTCTGGTGGTGGACTAGGTCTTAGCAAGTGTGGGGAAGACTTTGATCCATGGTTGATCTAAATTACTGTATTGCTTCTGTCACTACAGCAAATGTTTGCAAAGATTACTGACTAGGGATGTGCTTTAGGACAAGTTGCTTCATTCCTTCCTCTCTGCCTTCCTTTTCTTTCTTTCTTTCTTTCTTTCTTTCTTTCTTTCTTTCTTTCTTTCTTTCTTTCTTTTTTTAAATACTAGGATTGAACCCAGGGCACTCTGCTACTGAGCTAAGTCCCCATCCTTTTTTAAAAAACATTTTGAGACAGGTCTTGCTAAGTTGTCCAGGCTGGCCTTGAACTTGTGATTTCCTTACTTGGTTTAAATGGGATTATAGGAGTGCGCCATTGTTCTCAGCAGAACACCATACTTTGTTCAGTAACCCATCTTTGAGATATTTATTCCCAAACATTTTATGATTTGGAAGAATTTTTTCCCATATTTACTTATTTAATTCTGTTCTTTGGAGTAGATAGTGTTAACCCCATTTTCACAGGTGAGAAGATTGAGGCTTTGAGAATATAGGGAAGCTTGCCTAAGGTTACAAAGTTAAAAGTAACAAAATTGGTATTTATGTTCAAAGTTTCTTGGTAAGTGATTAAGCCCCAGCTTAAATTTATCTTTCATCCTAAATTCCTTACTCCTTCCATGGTATCATGCTATCATGCTATCTTTTTCTTTCTTCTTTATTTTTATTTTTATTTTTGTTACTGGGGACTCAACCTACGGATGCTTTACCAATAAGCTATATCCCTAGTCCTTTTTATTATTATTATTATTATTATTTTTTTTTTCTATTCCTTTTTGTTTGTTTGTTTGTTTGAGATAGGGTCTTGCTTAAGATGCTAAGGCTAGCTTGAAACTTGTAATCCTCTTTTCTCAGCCTCCTGAGTTGCTAGAATTATAGGCTTGTCCTGTATTTTCTAATGTCTTCCTAATTCATTTTACTAAAAGCTGAATTTCTATTCTAAGACTGTGAACTAATGTGCCCAAGTCCATGTATCTCCTAGTCTTATTTTCTTTCTTTTATGCATATTGTTTACAGAAGGACTTGATGTGGTTGGACATAAATAATGTGATCTTTTTCAGTACTAAAGAGTGGCTCTTCTATTTCATTGTTGGTACTTGGTGAGGAGGTCAGTTTTTACTTCATTCATAATTTTGCCTTGATAGTACTTCAGAATTGTCATTCAATCAATACTTTATTTATCTTGTATTTTATTATTGATATTTTATTGTTGATTTTCAGTTTTTTCTTGCTGATACAATCATAGTTTTATTAATACATTAGTTCCTAGTCTTAGATGGAAATTTAGGCCATTCAGCTTTTACTTAAATGAATTAGGAAGATATGTATAAGAAGATAGTATGATACAGTGGAAGGAGTAAGGTATTTAGGRTGAAAAATGTGTTTAATAAGCCAGTGCTCAGTCACTTGGCAAGTAACTTTGGGCAAGTCATTTAGTATCTTTGGCTCTATACTTATTTCCTTTTAGTTGGGGATATAAGATTGATCTTGGGATTAAATTAAGAAACATATGCCAAAGCTCCTTATAAACAGTAAAGTATTACATAGTAGGTTACTATTAATATTCCATTTATAAATTTCAGTGACAAAAGCTATTAATTTGAGTGTATTACTAATCTTGCAAATTTCTGAATGAACATAAAKTTAAATATTCTATGAATTATATGAGGGGCATAATAAATAGCTGTCTTTATCGCTATTATAAATTTGAAAGTAGTAAGTACCCATCTTGTAAGCAGCAAAACTTTAAAAATGTTAATTTTGCCCCAGTTATACAAATAATGTGATGTCCAATAAGAACAGTAAAGAAAAAAAAATCTATGTAATACTATATACAGTGAAATCTATTAACACATTAATGTATTTTTACACATGTGTGTTGGTGTGAGTTTATCTCTCTTTCTCTCTCTTTTTTTTTAAACAAATCTGGAATCCTAAAATTTTTTTTTTTTTTTTTTTTTTTTTGTACCAGGGATTAAACTCAGGGGCATTCGACCACTGAGCCACATCCCCAGCCTTATTTTATATTTTATTTAGAGACAGGGTCTCACTGAGTTGCTTAGCACCTCGCTTTTGCTGAGGCTGGCTTTGAACTCAAGATCCTCCTGTCTTAGCCTCCTGAGCAGCTAGAATTACAGGCGAGTGCCACCGCACCCATCTTCTAAAATATTTTTTAGTTTTTTATTTTATTTTATTCTTTGGCACTGGGAATCAAACCTGGGGCCTTGATCATGATAGGCAGGTGCTCTATCACTGAGTCACATCCCTAGTCCTAGAATTATAAAATCTTATATCCTGGTTTCACTTAGTATTATATTGTAATTYTTTTTCTTTTTCATTAAATGCTTCTCAAATATATTTTAGTAGTCATGTGATGTATTGTTATGTGAATATTCCATTGTTTTCTTCCCAGTTCTCAGTTACTAGGTATTTTTTACTTCCAGTTTATTGGTACGTGCTGAGTGGAATATTATCACATATATATCTATCTGTTATAGGCATTTCAAAGCACTGTCAGGGAAACAAATCATGGAAAAAGAAGAAAAAGTTAGGAACTGATATAAGACACCGTAATGGAGCTAACCTTACAGGTGTTTATGTAAAAGCCCCTTGTCCCCAGTGGCTATTTTTATTTTTTCCTATTTTCTCAAGGCTTTTCTTTCTCTTTCCAGTAAATTAGAAACAGTAAAGTATTACATAGTAGGTTACTATTAATATTCCATTTATAAATTTCAGTGACAAAAGCTGTTAATTTGAGTGTATTACTAATCTTGAAAATTTCTGAGTGAACATAAAGTTAAATATTCTATGAATTATATGAAGGGCATAAGAAATAACTGTCTTTCCAGATAATTAGAAACTAGGAGCCTTCAGTATTTTTTTTAAGTTGTCAACGGACCTTTATTTTATTTATTTATATGTGGTGCTGAGAATCTAACCCAGAGTCTCACACATTCTAGGCAAGCGCTTTACCACTAAGCTACAACCCTAGCCCTATGATTTATACTTTGGATCTAAACAGTTACTATTATGTAAGATACAAAAGAAAGATTACTGTATTTGGAAATAGATTCCCTGGTTTGGTGCTGAAATTGGACTCCAATGTTTTGCAGCCTAGCCTGCAGCTAYGCAACCTTGGGCATATTGCTTAACATTGCTAAATTTCTTTTTCTTTCCTTCTAAAAAATGGAGATGATGGTACCTATCTAACACAATGGGTGTTAAATTAAGTAATACTATACTCATTACAATATTTGGTATATGATGAGTACTTGAATCTCATTTCTCACTTGTATTAATATATTTTCTCTCTTGGAGTACAAGGATTTTTGTTGTTGTTTTTGTTTTTGGAGGGTTTTGTTGTTGTTTTGTTTTTTGTGGTGCTGGGAATCGGACTCAGGGCCTAATATATGCAAGGCACTCTATCAACTGAGCTATATCCTCAGCCCAAGATTTTGGTTGTATTTAAAGTCTCCAACTTTTCTTGAATATGATGATGATTCCATTACAATAATAGGTATAATTATGGATGTGTCCCAAGTCATTTGTTACCAGGGATAAAGTACAGACATTTATGAATGATTCATATCAAGTTAGTACCAGAGAAGTATCTTTCTCACTTGTGGTTTGACAAACTTTCTTGAGTGAGACCAAACTAATGGAGTTAAAAGGGAATAAATGCATCCTGAATTGTGGTAATCAGGTGTATGACCACAGCATGTTGTAATGTGAAGCTGAGCACCAGCACATCAGTGCAGCATGTGGGAGGTTCTTRGAACTCTCTGTACCTTTCTGTAAGATCTTTTTTTTAAAGTGGTAACATTTTCAAAAGTACTCATCTAATTTCCAATTTTTCATGAAAATGTTATGAGTGATTTAAATCCTTTCATTTACATGGTGACTTTTTAAAAATTTTACCTTCTTTTCTTTAAAAGAACTGCTGCAACCATTGACAGCTTAGCAAGTCGCATTGAGGATCCTCAGATACAGGCTCATTGGTCAAATATCAATGATGTTTATGAATCTAGTGTGAAAGTTTTAATCACATCACAAGGTTATGAACAAATATGCAAGTAAGTATCAAAAATAAAAGGTAGGTGTCTAATGTTAAGATGCTTGTTATGTCCCGGTTTTTGTTGAGTGATTATGTTAAGCTTTTGGTTTCTATTTGCTTGGGTGGCATAACATTCCAGCAAATTATATCAGCTATAAAGTGTTTGTGAGAATGAGAGGTAAGAATATCTAATATAGTGTCTCTTAGATAAATGTCACAATTTAAGCTACAGTAAGAGGTAAACTCCAGCACTGAATAGAAAGCTGTCTTGCCATCTCTAATGTTTAGTTCATGTTTAGAGGCTGTGGCAAGTCTAGGCTATATGAAGAAGTAAAGAGGGCCATTTATATTAGAGCTCATACCCTCCATTTTGTGCCTAGAACAGCTGAAGTTTCTCATCAGAGCTAGTATTGATCTGGATCTAATCCAGTTCATGATTGTGCCCTTTAAAGTAAATTGATAGCTGTCTGTCTGTGAAGGGGTCAGAATGATTTTTGTCCATTGATGGAAATACAGTGTATTTGATTTGCATTCACACATCAGAAGTTAATACAGTTGGCTAGGAGCCATGAAAAGGGGTTTTGGGTCTCATGTYAGTCTCTACAAAATTTAATAACTGACAAGATATAGCTGAATTCCTTCTTCCAGGTTAGTCTGAGAGAACTGCCAGCATACATTTGTCAGGATCTGTGAGTCCCTTTTTATTTTTCAAGTGTTAGCTGCATATTCAGACATACCTAACTAACTACAGCAAGCAAAACACTGTGAGAGACAAAATTGCCACCATTTGGAGTATGAGTGGAAAATGCATTTATAATGCTGTTTTTCATTATGGAAATTTTAATTCACTGTTTTTTAAATGTAAAATAGTAGATAATGTAAGATCAAATATGGAAGATTAAAAAAGAGCATACAATGAACAAAAAAATAATTTTGAAATTCCAGGGCAAAAAGGTAGAGTGAAGCTGGATCATAGTTTTCTAATTCTTYTTATTTTTGTATTTTTTTTACTTGTTCTAATTAGTTATACATGACAATAGAATGCATTTTCACACATTATATATAAGTGGAGTAAACACTCTCCTTATGGTATAGTTTTCTAATTCTGTACCTCAGAAAATAAAATAATCAGGGCAATTTGTTTGTTGGGGGGTGTTGAATATAAATAAAACAAGTTTGAGTGGGTCTTTAAACTGTTATGGTGGGTGATAGGACCATAGGCCTTCATTATATTATAATCTACTTCTGTTTGTGTTTAATTTTTCTCCATAATAAAATAATTGGTATGAAGATACTTTGTATACAACCAGAGATACGAAAAATTGTGCTCTATGTGTGTAATATGAATTGTAATGCATTCTGCTGTCACATATAAACAAAAAAAATATTGAGTGAGCACAAAAGGAAGAAAAAATTATCAGCATTCAGTAGTTTATGTCTGGAACCAAGACCAAAACAACTGTTAGATTTAATTATAGAACCCAATGTAAATTCTGTGAAGAAAGTTTAGTAATAATGTAGCCTTGACAGAATGAGAGGGCATCAGGGAGTAGAAGGGACTAATAAGATGCCTTTTTTCTCATCTTTTAGAGCTGGAGTTAATTTATGACATTTAGAGTTAAAGGTCCTCACAACTCCTCAGGAAAAGCCATGTTAAACAGTCTTACACATCTTTCTAGGAAAGTCTGCATTTACAGGCATATGTATTTCACCTATAACCTGTTTCTTTTACACAGATTTGTGTGTTTTTTTAAAATAAGGGTTAGGGTTCACATAGCAATTTTAAATTCCCTGTCATATAATTATCATTGCTTTCTAATTTCAGAACATTTCTGTCACCCCAAAAAGAAACTATGCTAATAAGCGGTCTTTCCTGATTCTGTGCTTTTTCACTCTGAAATGTTATATCAGTGAAAAACATTCCTTTTCAGAACACATAGATCTATCTCATTCTTTTTTCAGCCTTGTGTTTCATTTTATGTATCAAGACTTTTAACCCTCTATTAATGAACATTTTTGCTGAGTGCCAGAAAAGTAACTTACACATGTGCAAATATATCTTTATTAGATAAAGTTTTTATCAGATGATGTAATTGCTGGATCAAAAGATAAGAACATTTAAATTTTTTAGTCATATTGCAAATGGTTTTTCAAAGTGGTAGTCACAAGTATGTTCCTACCTATGGTATATAATAAAAATTCCTATTCTTTTATACCCTTATTTTAAAAATATTTTTAAAATTTGCTTAGATTTATGTTTTTTCTTCATGCCTTCTGAGTTTTGTGTTTTTCTTTCAAAAAAACAATGTAAATTTCAATTCATCAAAATCAAAACTTTATGTAGACTATTGTTAAAATACCTTATTCACAAATACTTGCTATAAAACAATGTTAAAAACGAGGTATATATATATATCAAACATAGAAAGACGGTGCTGTTTTTCTATATTTGTTTATCTAAGTTATTTAATTTGAGGGATTTCCAGTCTCTTGTGCGTGTTCTTTGCTAAAATTTTAGGTTGTTTTAGAAGATTGCAGTGATCTGAATGYTATTTATTGAATATTTTATGAGTTTCTTTGTTTAACCTAAGCCAGTTTAATAGAATGTATGTATTCTGAATTGTTTGCTAATTAATTCAGGAAGGGCCAAACCTTTTTATTTTCTGTACGAAAATTTAACCTTTGGTTAACTATAGTCCCAATTTCTGAGAAACCCGATAAGGAAAGATATGATCTGTATTACTAAGTGTCATTGTTTATTGAAACATGATCCCAAAATGGTAAACTGCATCTAGATTGAGGGAAATTTTTTTTTTCTTTTTGATACCAGGGATTGAACTCAGGGGGCACTAGACCACTGAGCCACATCCCCAGTCCTATTTTGTATTTTATTTAGAGACAAGGTCTTACTGAACTGCTTAGCACCTCGCCATTGCTGAGRCTGGCTTTGAATTCGAGATCCTCCTGTCTCAGCCTCCTGAGCCACTGGGGCCACCTCATCCAGCAGATKGAAGGGAATTCTAAATGCTGATGGGGATGACTTTGGACTTCTCTGAATGGGAAAACTGAGCATCTCTCTTATGGGGACCCTGGAAATACTCCTCTACAGTTATACATATTCCCAATATGAATTTTTTCGTAAGAAAGGTGTACTGCTGCTGTGTAGACACCTGCATGTGCTTCTGTGTGGACTGCCTTAGAAGAAGAGCATCTGATGTTGGCCTCCTGAGTAGACTGATGTTCATTGTGATCTGCAATGAGTCTGATTGTTCAGTTGAACCAAAGAAGACCTTTTCTTCCCCAGAAGTGTTGATGTAGCATAGTAAAACTGTTATGATTTTTCCATGATTAAGTTTTACTGTTTGTAGTACTATATATTTTTTGAACATTTCTGATTTTTAGTGTATGTGTCTATAAAGGTCCATTCAGCTGCAACTGAATATTGGAGTTGATCAGATTCGAGTTGTACACAGAGATGGAAGAGTAATTACACTGTCTCATCAGGAGCAGGAGCTACAGGATTTTCTTCTATCTCAGGTAATTGTTGCAGACTACAGATCATAAGCCCCTTCCTCTTATATTATAACTGCTTAAAGAGCAAACTGAGTAAGAAGTAGTTAAAATGTAGTAAGTTATATAAGGAGAAAATCAGTGTTTCCCGCTCTTTCGTTTAATTTTTAACATTATAATTTGTGACCTATTGGTTAGTCGAAAGTGTTGATAAATTCTTAGATTTGTTGTACTTTGTGTTTTGGATGAAGAACAAGTTTTGAGATTAACAAGTTTCTTGTTTTGCAGATTGCTGAGGTTTAGCCTCTTCAGAACTAGAAGTGAATATTAACCTAAGAAAATTAGAGAAAGGGGGTCAGATACAAAACTATAATSACCATTATCTATAAAAAGAAGTGGAATGTTTTAATCATTAACCCTAGGAGAGAGTTCCTCATATTAAGGCAGTCTAGAAAAGTACTAGGTACTAGTCCCCACTCTACCACAAACTTKCTTTGTGACACTGTACAAGTTTCTGGTCTGTCCTTCATCTATAAAAGGCAGTACTTTTCGTATCTTGTTTGTGAATTTTAATCTAGTGAAATGCTGAATTATGGGAGAAATGATAAGTTTTTGAAATACTAGTGTATAATACTTTTTTTTTCCCCACATAAAATTAAGGGAAAAAAAATACTAAAACTCTCCATTCTTGCATCATATTGATTTGCCTCTTTGGTGCCAAATACATAAAATGCATTTGTGAGGCACGACAGCTCTTAGCTAATTATGTCCTAAATGGCTTTGGTTATCTGAAGCACACACATAAAAATGTATTGGAATGTTACTGAATAACTCCCAGAATTGATGGGAAGTGTAGAGGTGAAGGTTTGCAAATGGCAGGGATCAAAGGAAGCTAGGTAGGGGAATGGCAATGTTGCTTTCCTGGCACTACTGCATCCCCACTGGTGGCAGAATGCATTCATTCAGCGTATGACCAAGAAACAGGTGACAAGYCGGGTGTGTGGTGCATGTCTGTAATCCTAGTGGCTCGGGAGGCTGAGACAGGAGGATCCAGAGTTCAAAGCCAGCCTCAGCAACAGCAGGATGCTAAGCAACTCAGTGAGACCCTGTCTCTAAGTAAAATACACAGTAGATCTGGAGATGTAGCTCAGTGTTGAATGCCCCTGAGTTCAATCCCTGGTACCCTGTCCCCTACCAAAAAAAAAGATGGCATACTCGGGAGGGTCTGTTGATTAGGGTCTATGTACAATATTATGGGTGTAGGAGAGCCACCAAGCCACAGTGTGGTAACTTGCTGTTAGTAGAAACTGGGTAACCAGGCCCCARGGTCTTAGTAGTCACCAGTCCTAGGCCAGGGTTGGGGGAAAGAATAAGTTATAGGAACTCTAAACGGGAGAGTAATGTAAAACAAGCCACCTTGATGAGACCAGCAGCCTTTTGTCAAACAACCAGTCTGGATAACTTCACAGGGAAAGTACCAGGGGAATAAATGCTTTTATCACACTCTCTTCCTTGCCACCTTGCTGGCTCTCATTGATAATCCTCATTACATAGGTGGCTGCCTTTGCTTGAAGTCAGAGGACATAGAAGCTGGTAGCCAACACTTGAGCCTCCCAGGGCAGAGAAGTTCAGTAGAGACTGGATTTGAATAGGGAGTAGAAGATACTTGCTTGCTACTTTTAGTGATGCCTTACATTCAGTGATCTATCAGGAGACTCCAGTTGGCCAAGTTTAGTTCATGTGCCTGTTTTGAAGCTGCTGGTAGACAAGGGATTTGAGTATCAGGCAATTTTAGCTACTTCAGTGGAAGATGGGGTTCTGCTCCTTCTCCCTAGTAGTCACATAGAATAGGACTCTTCAAACRTAAGACATGGAAAACCCCAACAAAAGTTTATGAGCATGATCAAATTGCAAAGTAAATATCTGTACTGTTTGTCAGTCAAATTTCTTTTTTCATCCACAGATGTCACAGCATCAGGTTCATGCAGTTCAACAGCTAGCCAAGGTTATGGGCTGGCAGGTACTCAGCTTCAGTAATCATGTGGGACTTGGGCCCATAGAGAGTATTGGCAATGCCTCTGCCATAACAGTGGCCTCSCCGAGTGGTGACTATGCTATTTCAGGTACTCTCTGCTTCTTTGAAAGAACAGACCTTTTGGAGTTTGACCTTAATATTTAGCTTTAATAATTAAGTATATGTAAAAGTAGTAGTTAACGTACATACACTGATATTTATCTGATAATACTTATTATTCAAAACAAGATTATTACTTTTCTTTATAGTAGTTATAAAAATGTTCAGTTTGGCGAGCACATTTTCTAGTAGATCCTCAAAAAGTGTCATCAACATTTTTACTACTGCAGACCTAAACATTTTGTGGATAAAAACTTTAAAAAATATAGCTGTAAACATGGAAATAGTAATAGAAATAGTAATTAACACTCATTTTTGCAAACCAGAAAACAAGGATAAATCCCATTTTGATTTTTCTCCATAGTTCGTAATGGACCTGAAAGTGGCAGCAAGATTATGGTTCAGTTTCCCCGTAACCAGTGTAAAGACATTCCAAAAAGTGATGTTTTACAAGATGGTAAATGGAGTCATCTTCGTGGGCCATTTAAAGAAGTTCAGTGGAATAAAATGGAAGGTCGAAACTTTGTTTATAAAATGGAGCTACTTATGTCTGCACTTAGCCCTTGTCTGCTATGATTTTTTTCCTGAAATTGACTTGAGATGTTTGCAAATTAATTATAAGCACAAAGAAGAGAAATCTTCCAAAGGAGTATTATTTAAAAATAATAATTAGTAAATGTTTTCCTAGCAATTTGAAATCTTTCACTTTATAAGTGATGTACTTTGAAATGCAGAAGTTTATGTACAGTTGTAGGTATATGGGGAGATGTAAAATAATACATTTTTTTTTATACTGCAGTTAACCTGAAAGTGTTATTAATGGAGGGGATTAAATTTGCTGTTTAAAATACCCAGTCTTTGATGTTAGCATCAAATAAAGTGTGTAGTTAAAAAATCTCCAATTTTTGCCGAGCTCTTAATAGCCCTAATGAATTGTTTCCTTAATCAACTTCTCATTCCACTGTTTCTAAAACAGATCACATAAGGACATTGAGACACTCTATCATCTAGCTTTCTTATAGAACTTCATTTGCACTGATGAAGCCAGACCCTGTCCTTGAAGTATACAAGCACATGGCAGCAGAGGAACAGGTCTTCCCTTTAATTCTAGGGCTCCTAGGGTGTGCTCCTGTATTAGTAAGTGAAGGATTTCTTCTCCATTTGTCTTCTTTTGCATGTCTTGGTCTAAGCAGGTAGTTATAGAAATTGTTTGGAAGGGGCAGCTGAAATCATGGAAAGCTGCCGATTTGGGGCTGGGATGTACTTCAGTGGTACAGCGCTTGCATGGCATGCATGAAGCCCTGGGTTCAATCCCAAACACTGCAAAACAAAACAAAAACTGTATCTGTCTTTTTTGTCTGTTCTCCAACCTGAGAGACCTCATGAGCAGCACTAAGTTCATGTTCATGCCCAGCTCCCTGTGGTAGCCCTTGGATTGCTTCCTCTAATTATAGTCTTTTCCATTAGCTCTCTGCTTTCTCAAAGGGAAAAAAAAGTAATGTATTAATGGGTTGATTTTTCAAGTAGTATGTTTGTACTTACCCCATTCTAAAGCGTGCCAGAAGAATTCCCATTAGTAAGAGGCTTATGTGCTTTTTAATAGCACTGAAAATAATATATGTAAGGTCTCCTTATAAGTAAAGCTTTCAATTTTTAAAATGTTCTACTTTAATAATTTATAAGATTATCAWTAATAAAATCCTTTGTATTTCTCCATCTTCTTTTCTTCTTTTTGTGTACTGGGATGAACCCAGGGGTGTCATACCATTGAGCTACATCTCCAGCCCTTTTAATAAATTTTATTTTTTATTTTGAAACAGGGTCTCACCAAATTGCACAAACTGGCCTCTAACTTGCAATCCTCCTGTCTTAGCCTCCTGGATTGCTGGGATTAAAAGCCTRTACCACCACCTTCTCTCTTTTTCTTTAAAAGAAAAAAAAAAAAAGTGATGCCCAGGTGCCATGGTATATGTCTGTAATCTCAGCAACTCAGGAGGCTTCTGAAGCAGAAGGATTACAAATTCAAGGCCAACTTGGGCAATTTAGGGTGACCCTGACTGAAAAAACAAAAAGGGGTGGGGATGTAGCTCAGTGGTAGAGTGCTACTGGGTTCAGTGCCCAGTACCAGGGGAGGTGGGTAGTGAAGATTGTAGGCCATGATATAATAATACCTTTGTGCCTTTGTTTGCTTTTTTCCTCTTCTTTTRAAGGTATTGTATCTTGACCTGGGGGTGCAGTTCAATGGTTGAGCATTTGTCTAGCATGCTTAAAGCCCTGRCTTCAATCTCCCATGAAAATGTAAAGAATTGCTATTACTCTGCAGCTTTCAAAAATTTTTTTTGTGTGTGTGCCAGACATGGTGGCACATGCCTGTAATCCCAGGGACCCAGAAGGCTGAAGCAGAAGGATCACAAGCCCAAAGCCAGCCTCAGCAACTTAGTGAGAGGCCTTAAGCGACTTAGCAAGACCCTGCCTCAAAATAAAAAATAAATAAGAGGCCTGGGGATGTGCTCAGTGGCTAATCTCTGGTACCAAAATATCTTTTGCTGGGAGTAGGGTGGGGGGCAGTACTGGGGATTGAACCTAGAGGTATACTTTATCACTGAGCCCTTTTTATTTATTTTATTTTTATTTATTTTGAGACAAGGTCTCCGTAAATTGCCACGCTCATCTCAAACTTGTAATCCTCCTGCCTCAGCCTCAATTGCTGGGATTACAGGTTAGCACCAACACTCCTGTAAAGTTATTTTAAAAATCTAGTGCTTCAAAAATCCTGGTGGTCCACAAAATTTGCCAGGCTAACAGGTACAATTCTAGTCACATGAGTCTTTCTTGTGATTTTTTTAAGGTTCACACTGGCACAGTGATATCAAAGTTTCTGGAGGACCAGTTTCATTTTGTGTTATTAAATTTCCCTCCATTGTAGATTGATAGTTTGGTAAACTAATAAAAATGAATTACTAGAAAAATGAAACTTAAAAAAGATATAAAACTCCCTTTATTGGATTATCAGACATAAAATTTCTGTAAAATATAAAACTTTCTGAATGCTTTGTTTCTGTGCTTATTCTGTTGTGAACTAGTAGTGGCTCACGGACCAGGACCACCCTTTAAGGAGAATGCACAGGTTCTTTTAAATTCTATAGACTCAGAATCATATGTCCTCCTTTCCCCATTTGTTTTAGTCACTTTAATAAAAGCCATTACTTACCTAGAGGACAGTAGAAACTGTAGCAAATGAGGGTTGGGAAAATGACAGCTTAGTTTCTGTTAGCAATTCCTATGCCTTATGTTTATTTCCATTTTCCAGTTTGACATTCCATCGTGAATTACCTTGATATAGAAGGACATACTGTGGAACTTGGTTGACAGGAGAAAAAACACTTAGTTCCTTAACAAGCATTTATCAGGTTGGCAAAAGAGCTACCTTTGAATGTCTGCTCTGCTACTAGCTAGCTATAAGCCTGGCAAATTTACCCACCCTCTGAGCCTGTTTCCTTACTTATTATTGGGGACAAGGACACCTCTCCCCAACCTCAACTTTCAATAAGATTGATAATGGATCTTAAATTCTAATGTACTTCATTGAATAAATGAATACCCACACAAATTCCAATGTACTTCGTAAATATAAAGCATTAAACAACTATGGTTCTAAGAGTCAAACCAATTAGAAGTTAGAAAAACAGTACCAGCTTTATTTATAATCTGGAGAAAGTATATCAGAATGTCCAGTATTCCTATTTGTAAATGTTTTGTAAATGATTGAAAACCATGAGTGCTTCTGTGGATAAGAAGATTTAGGAGTTTTTCCAGTTAATTTTTAAAACCCTGCTTTGTAGTCTACCTCTCTCCTTACTCCCTGCCTTTAATTTGTTCACTCTTAACATCCCAAATCCTGTTCTTTGATGCCTGACATACTTGGGGCTAAAAATAAAGCCTTTGAATTTCACTTTAGGATGATAACTTTCCCAAGTCTTATAGACATAAAGGCAATTCACTACTGAGAAATCTGGTTACACAGCACCATAATGCAAGTGCTGCTTAGAAGTCTTTTGCATTGTTCTCAAGTTTACTGTCTCCTGATAGAAACTTACCCTGTAGAAATGCTCCAGGAAGAGATTCATAAAAGATTGTATAAGGATTATCAAAGAAGACTATAAAAGTGAAGGGACCAATCTAAATGTCCTTCATTAAGAGGAAGAATAATTAGATAATACTAGAGGAGCCCCTGGTTCAGGTGTTCATTCTTACTTTTCTAAAAGTAGAGATCATTTGTTAGCTGCCATAATCTGGTTTCCCTTGCTTAGAAACCAGAAAAACTTCCGTGTTACAGCTTCATCTTCCTATTTGCTGGTGGTGAATTGGTGTATAGAAATATTTGTGCCCGTGTGTGTGTGTGTGTGTGTGTGTGTGTGTGTGTGTAGTAGAATAGACTATTTGACTTGAAATTTGACAGATGAGGAAGAAGTTTGAGATATAAACATGACATACAGACTGAAAAACCTCCTGATAATTTAGTGAGTGTGCCAAGGAGAGGCTAATGTCAGAATCTCCTATTTTACCCAAATTATTCATGGCCTTTCTTTCAACTTTCTTTATAAGTGCACCCACCCAATCTGAGTTGCTTGGGACCCAAAAAGTCAGCTAGGAAGAACTATCATGTGTTCAGTATTTGGAAAAGCCTAGTTGAAATAGTATATCCACTCTCTCAAACTTCACCAGACTTATTTACTAGAACACTTTCAACTCAAAGTAATATCCCTGATATCATTTGATCAGAAATTCTAATTAGCACAGGAAACTGGGTAAGTTCACATTGTTTGGTAAAAAAAATTCCACTAAAGTCGGTAAACTATGAGGTACCTGAAGGAAAAGTATTTTGCATAAAAACCTGTTACACCAAAAGAATTTAACCTACCTGTGCATGCACTTTTAAAGGCCAAATCTAAAGCTAAAACTTGCAAAATTTCACATTAGCCACATTAGCAATATCCTCTCTCTCACCATCAAATATTCAGTCTCCAATAAACTTTACATAAAATCCACTTATATTATAAAATGTTGAATTCCTTGAAAGAGGAAGAGACTCAAAGGAGATAGAATTAAATGCATTAGTTAGCAAGAGTAAAGAAATCATGTAGGTTGAAGGAACTCGTTTAATGTCATAGAAAGTTTGTCTAAGATTTTTATTTTTGTATATATTATTTTAAACAAAAAATAGTTTTTCAGTGAACAATTATAACATATCCATGCTGTAGATTGCCTTGTGCAGGAAAGAGAAAGAATAGAATTGAGGAAAAGATAGAGACACAAAATAATACCCAAAATCCCTTAAGGAAAATCAAGCAAGTTGAAGGGTAATATGTATAATAGAATCCAATTTGACTAAAAAGAAAATAGGTTGAATATATTATATCATAGTTCATAAGCCAATCTAGAAGGATACACATCAAATCTAACTATTGTTCCCTCTGGGAAGTAGAGTTTAAAGGGAGAACGTTTACTTTATGTATAGACTTAACTATCATTTGAATTTTCAAGAAGGATTTATCACCTTTGTAATTAAACCAAAACCAAACACACCTGATTTTTTTTTTTTAATAAGCTACCATTTTTATTGCAAYGTGGCCATTTTTGTAAGGGTGGGGAATTTGACCTTAAAACAATGTTTCACCTAAGGCTCTTTATTATAAAGAAATTGCCATCATGATTATATTCAAAGTATCTTTAATTTTGAGAGACTCACATGGTAAACAAAATTCCTACACTTATTCAGAAGTGATTTCAATGGAAATCAAAAAGGCATTAATAACAGCTATTTCTTTTAAGAAGAAATGCAGATAATAGGAATGAACAGTCAGGTACTAGATAAATTGATGACACAGTTAATGAAACTTAATTGRCATTTCTTTTGGGGGATTAAGCTCATCATAAAAAACAGTGCCTCTAATGCATAGTATTATATTCATGCTGCCATGTCACAAAAAAAGGCTTGCCAAAGCAGGTGAGATATATGAGTGCCCCAGTGCCTCACAGAACTACAATTTTACCATCTGACCAATGGATAATACTCTCAGGACATTCAATCTGCTTACACTGTACAGATTCTGAGCTATTTACAAGGACAGTTACATTCATTGTAATATAGGGAGGTATATAACCAGTTGTTTGGGCTAAAATAAGAGAGGAAAACATTCTTTGGATTCTAAGTAAAAGTAACCATGTTAAAGAGTCTAATAGCCAACATTGACAGGATCTTAAATGAATTATATCTCATTCGTTGTGTTGGAAGGGCCCAGTGGAAAGCTCTCAAAAYCAAAATCTAATGCAATCCCAATGGACTGGAGAGGAGAAATGAAATCCCCTTAAGATCCAGGTGGCACTTGACTGCCATTTTTTAACCATTTTCCTTCAAGTGAAACTACTACAATGTCTCTCACTTTCTCTTCAAGTGTCAAATGGTCCTTAATATCATCCAAGCCATTTACTTGACCCTAGTGTTTAATATCTGTAAATTTCTTTTTAATGGCATCTTTAAGCTTAGCATGAAGCAGAGGGCACTTTCAGGAGCCCAGAATGTAAATATTAGGTCTTCTTTCTTACATTCTTGTTTTGTATGGGGCATCCTACAAAGCATATCGGCAATCATTCAGAGGTAGCAACTTCACAAAGATGTGTAGGGGTCCTCTACAATATCACCAATGTCACCCACCAAGATAATCTTTGCTTCCTCTATAATTATTTATATTTTTTTAATCACTTAAACAGAAGAAAACTGCTTTTTCATTCTCGGATCTTCTCTTGTGTATAAGATTTCCTTACTTTCATGTCATTAAAAACTTTGATGACTTCATCATTCACTGTAACTCCAGATGCCRTAGCACCCATGCTTGTGACTGCAGCAGTGGTGGCTCATGACTCTGGGCCTGATTTTTTTAAAGTTTTGGAAATAGTGACCTCAGCAACCATATTCTTTCTCCTTAAGGATCGGAAATGTTGCTGGGTGGATTCAGATGTGCAGAAAGCCATACACACTGGCAATTCACACCATTTGTTAGTGGGAGTTGATTTATGGATGGTCGTGCTGACAATAACCTCAGGATTTGCTGTGCTTTCAATCAAGTAAATGAATCTGATGCCTCCCTAGGAACTGATATGTAAATGCTGATAGCAGCAAGAGACCAAGTGTTTCCACTTTCTTCTAGGGTTGCCAAGGAGACTGTGTAACATCTCTGGGGGCGGTCTACCCTATCATATTTGGCTCCTTGGTCATTCCTTGGCACTTMATACTGTCACCTTTTCTCTACCCATTGTTATGCTTATCCAGCCCCTCTGAGTGGAATTTTCTCTTAGGCCTTGTCTCTATATTCCTGCACTRGACAAGACACTGTGATAATCTTACTTCTCACTGCCTTTGTTCCTCCTCTGTGTGGTACTGCTTCAAATCAGAGTAAGCCTGAAATGCTTTCAGTTATTTACCCATCTTATGTGGGCTTCAGAGGTCGTGGATTCTCTGTTTCAATTTTCCTTACAAATCTAGAACATCAGGAAATGAGAAAGTACAATATATACTTTTTTGGATTCTTAGATCATAACTGAGAAGATGTTGTTGACAAAGCTTGTCTGTTCTGTAGGACAATTTATGCACCATTGAACTAGATGGTACAATTTTCACTCCTAGTTTAAGCCCTGTCCAGAGGCAGAAGGACTCTAGAATTACAATTAATATTTTAGAAGCACAAATTTCAAATTGGTTCTTCTGGCTACAATAGAGAGAGAACTGTTGTGCTAATAAGGTGTTTTTCTGAAGTGCTAAAATGTTTATTGTTTAAACCAATGTAATTAGTTCCATTGTCATTTAAAATATGTGCCAGACTCATGGCTGTGTTAGATTCTTTTTGTATGCTCGGAACATTACCCAGAGCCTTTGAGTTCTTGGCAGGAGTGAGCTCACATAAAAGACTCGGACTTTATATTCAGGTTTTATTTCATTCTTTGAAACATTTTTTCACAGTTTGAAACAACTTATAACTTAACATTACACTGGCCAAGCCCTATGATTTAATATTTTCTTTTTTAACAACAGACAAAAACCTTAGGCTGTGAGATATAAAAATAGGATAGCTTTAAAAGTGCACAAATAAATCAGCCTTTCAAAGAAATGGAAAGCTATGAAAATAACCTTTATGAGATTCTTTGGGGGCAATTTAATTTACATCTGAGTGTGCCTGTGGGGGTCTGCTCTGAGTGTCTTTTTCCATTTCTCCTTTTACTCTGAAGTTCACCATCCCTGACTCCTGACAAACTGAGCAGTGGAGTTCTGAAGAGCAGATAATGTGAAAGAGGAAGCACACACTCCCCAGCTACCCAACTCCAAACTCTGCTATAGGCTTCCTGTGAGAAAGAGGAGAAAGACATAAGCAGCTTATCCTTGATCCCCTTTTTCTCTGGTATGTCTCACCCTGTTTCTCCATGGCTGTGCAGAAACTGTCCTGGCACGGGGCCTGGTTCCTCTACTGTCTGGGAAAGGGCCATTAAGAGTGCGTGTTTGGATGTGTGTATACAAAGGTGACCTGAAGATGAGCTCCTGCCGCATACCAGGTGCTAGAGCTACATGTCCATTGTGTAAACTTGCTACTCTCTTGTCTTTGGAATCAAGTATGGTAGTGCCTTTGGAGTCCTTCATTAGATCACTACCAGTTGCTATCTGAATACTCCAAAGGACCTCTTCCTGTAGCTCTGGGTTCATTATTTAGGGAAAGGTCTAATCTAATGGATTTCTCCAGGCAACTCCTTACGTGCTATATGGGAGCAGAAAAGATATACATTGGGAATCTGAAAGGAAGAAGAAGAAAAGGAATGTCTTAGCACTTTTGCATGCATGAATTTGCAATTGAGGCCTGGGAACACTGCTAATACCTTAGCCTCCATCATAATTGGGATAGTATCTTTGGTCTGAAACCACAATTATTGGAGAGAGAAATGAGAGTGGGAGATAAATTCATACCTGCCTTTATTTTCTACCTTTATTTTCTTCAATTCTCTACTGAGAATTGAAGTCAGGGCCTCACACAGGCTAAGCAAGCACTCTTCCACAGAGTTACATTCCCAGACCTTTTTATTTTTTATTTTGAGACAGGGACTTACTAAGTTGTGAGGCTGGCCTTAAACTTGAGATCCTCTTGCCTCAACCTTACAAGTAGCTGGGATTACTAGGCATGTGCTACCATSCCCAGCTCATGCCTGATTTTGGAGCTTGCCAAATGGAAGTGGGGATGGAAAAATTTTCAGGTAAACATCACCACAAACTGGAGACATTAAGGATGAAGGCCTGTTGGGATCCAATCCCCAAGATTAGCTGGAGCCTCTGTACCCCAAGGCATTTCAATTTCTAATACTCAGTATAGCATTTTCCAGTAGAGCTTTCCAGATCCTTGAAGGATTCTCATGCTTTTCTTAAACTGCTCAGAGTGCTCTAGACACACTGTGGGCTTCTCTTGATATCCTGACTGTGAGGTAGGTGAGAGCCAAGCATTCCTCAGCTGGGGTAGGAGAGAGAACAAGAGCTTGACTGGAGATGAAGTGTTTGTGACTGAGCGGGACAGATCTTAAGCCTGAGATTACTGTGTTCCTGGTTGCACCATC